CCATAACACAGGAGTTTCACATGTGGCTTCTTTCTGGAGCACATGCTGGGACTTGATAGTCTAGCCGAGACTCAGACTGGGAAAAAATTCCAGCCTCTGCAGAGGACTGGCGTGTCTCTCTGAAGTACCTATTTCGAGGGCTACGGGAGGGATTTGAAAGGTGTTTTGCACATTGAGACAGAGTTTTATCCACTGCTGATTCCTTTCTTGTGGTCCCTTCTCAGGGACATGTAGAGACTAAGCCATGGCTTTATGTGCAGGGGCTGCTCCTGGTGAGCTTGGCTCAGCCCTGGAGTTAGGCTGGGAATATTTGAGCAGAGCCTTGGTGGGAGGATGGTGGAATGCCAGGGGGATGCTTGGATGCTTTGAAGGAGCTGAGTGTGGCTCAAGCTGCTGTGCCAGCCCATGCCACCCTCTCGTGGCTCTGTCTCCTCCTGTCTGGAGCTGAGGCAATGATCTGCAGTGTGTGTGTGTGCGCTCATGAACGTCCCTCGGCGTTTCCTCCGCTCCAGCTTGCCGCCAGCATTCCGCAGCCAGGCTCCCGGGGAGGGCCAAGCCACTTCCCAACATCTGCTCTCCCTGCAGCACGGGGCTGAGCCGGGGGCTGGGGATGAGCGTGACACCCAGCTCTGAGCCCAGCAGGGCTGCGAGGAGGCTGGGCAGCTCCTCAGCTCTCATCTAACTCCATCTACAGAGAAATCTGGGAACTGGGGCTCCACTCACCCCACAGAGAGTTTTTTTTAGTCAAATCTCTCAGCTCTGAGATTTTCGTGTCACTCAAGCCACGAAGTTCCTGGAGCCCCTTTCTACCTTTGCTCAACTTTATATTCTGTACCTCAGTAATCTGAGGAAATCAGCTGCTTTTGGAACTCCCCCTCCACAGCCTGGAAACCCCATCCTGGTCCCTGCTTGGGAAGCCACTTCAGGTTGTACACTCCTAGAAGGAAGAGCAGACTCTATTTGGTCTTTGAAATATTTTAATGCAGAAAGCATGTCTTTAAATCATAGCTCTGAAAGCCTGAGCTCGTGTGGCACACACTGTTTCGCTGTCTGCATTCCAAGGAAACACCCAAAACTTCCAGTATGCTTCTTATTACTGGCCTAAAGTGTCAAATTCACGTCGGCTCTTCCAGCTGGGAAGTGTTCAATGGGATAGTTTGTTTGATATGCTGATACAGATCTTGTTATTACATCAGGATCATAGGTGATCTGTCAATGTTTACATCATGTCACGTTCAATACCGGAGTTAACCGATTCTGAAACTCAATCCAGCGTTAAAACCCTGGCGCTGCTGACAAGGAGTGCCCAAGGTCAGGAGCTGCCACCAACTGACCATGCTGGGCTCTGCTGTTTCCATAAATATTGACCTACAAGCCAGTGGTGGCCTAGGTGGAAATGCAGCGCAGAATCCCCAACCCCAGCAGTGCCTTTTGTGCCCTAAAATTCACAGGCTGGGGTGATTAAGGCTTCTCAGACAGATTTCTTGGGATGAGGGCTGGGGCTGTTTGAAGTCGAGTGAAAATCCACCCACTGGCTTCGGGAGGCTTTGAGTCAGTGCTTGGATGAAGGTAGAAACCACCTTCCTGTTCTCTAAGGTATGAGCCATTGTTCACTGGTTTCCTCTCCGTGACAGCTGTGGGCAGATGGGGAAGGGCTTTTAATGAAGCCAACCGCTGCAGAAATTAAAAAGCTCAGGTTGTTCTGATGAAAGAAACCCATTAACAGCGATTCTCTCTTGCGTGACAAAGTCTGACGTCCCCAGCCCTAAGTGACAAGCGGCAGGAAGTCCTGGGGAGACAGCCTGAGCTAAAGAGGGCTGGCAGGCCAAGCTGGTGGTTTTTAACTCGTTCTCTGCCTTGTTTCACAGGGTTTGAGGCTACCAGGTCCCACATGTGGGGACAGGGTGGGACACAGACTGGAGAGGGGCTGGGAGGGCTGGGAAGAGCCCTGATCCCACCACCCCTGTCTTTGCCTTGACTTACATTTGCGTCAAGTTTTCCACTTTCTTTTCAGCAGGATAGTTTCAGGGGTTTGGGGGGTTTTGCTGAGTCTCCCCACAATCCAGCCCCTCCTGGAGGGTGCTGGCAAAGCCCACGGAGCTGTGCCCATGTTCAGACAGTGCGGGCACCGGAGCAACCACAGTGCAGCATGACACAGGCACATGAAGGCCTTGGTGGGGCTGCATGGCTGAATAATCTTTAAAAACATTATCAGCACAGAGATCACAATATATTTTTTCAGGATTTTCCCTGTCACATGCCAGATACCACCACAGGATAGGGTTTGTGCTGAGATAGAGGAAGGGAATTTAATTTTCATTAGATTTCTAGGGAACTTGGTCTTTGAAGTCCTTTTTGGCTTTCCTGCGAAGCTCTGCCCAAAAAAAAACTGGGTAAAGATGAAATATAACACTATTTTTCTTCTTCTGTGCATAAATGTATAGTGAAATAATAAAACGTGGGCTAAAACAAGACATCTCAGTGCACACACTTTTCCCCTGGAGAAAGCACCATGTGACAGATGCTGCTCACAGCTCCCAAGGCCCTGGATAATGCAGAGGTGCCTGAGGTCTGGGGACACACAGAGATGAGAATAGATCATTTATGATCTTGCTTTGAGGTTTCCTTGGTTTACTTCACACAGCAGGGAAAATACATTTTCAAAATCCTGCTGGGTTTTTGCTTTCTGCTGGGTTTGTCCTCCCCAAGTTTTCCTCTCTGCTGCCAGCACGTTTTCCCTTGGTTTGGACTCTCACATCTCTGTAAGTCTGGGGATTATAGAGCTTGGGATGCTGGGGCTCACCTGGATGTGGAGAAGCAGAGAGGGGTCAAAGCCCCTCTGAATCTGTGGCTGGGATGGGTTTGCTGGTGGGACACCTGTGGAGCTCAGCTGGGAGTGTGAGCTCCCCTTGGAGCTTCCCTCCCATCCCAGCATCCTCCCAGCCAGCCTGGCAAGCACAGCCTGAGCCAGGCAAGTGGGAGATCAGGAGATACCAGACGCTGGATTTAAAGAGGGGGAAGTGTGGGGACTTTCTGTGACTTTGCTATAAACTGACACAGCTCACAGAGCTGTGCAGATGTGAGGGGGAAGGGCAGGGGCGTGCGGGTGAGAGGTGCCTGCGTTCATCGCCTTTTAAACGCGCTGCTTTGCTTTCCTTTTCTTCTTTAGAAGCCACCAACTCAGTGCACACACTTTTCCCCTGGAGAAAGCACCATGTGACAGATGCTGCTCACAGCTCCAAAGGCCCTGGATAATGCAGAGGTGCCTGAGGTCTGGGGACACACAGAGATGAGAATAGATCATTTATGATCTTGCTTTGAGGTTTCCTTGGTTTACTTCACACAGCAGGGAAAATACATTTTCAAAATCCTGCTGGGTTTTTGCTTTCTGCTGGGTTTGTCCTCCCCAAGTTTTCCTCTCTGCTGCCAGCACGTTTTCCCTCGGTTTGGGCTCTCACATCTCTGTAAGTCTTGGGATTATAGAGCTTGGAGGGGATGCTGGGGCTCACCTGGATGTGGAGAAGCAGAGAGGGGTCAAAGCCCCTCTGAATCTGTGGCTGGGATGGGTTTGCTGGTGGGACACCTGTGGAGCTCAGCTGGGAGTGTGAGCTCCCCTTGGAGCTTCCCTCCCATCCCAGCATCCTCCCAGCCAGCCTGGCAAGCACAGCCTGAGCCAGGCAAGTGGGAGATCAGGAGATACCAGACGCTGGATTTAAAGAGGGGGAAGTGTGGGGACTTTCTGTGACTTTGCTATAAACTGACACAGCTCACAGAGCTGTGCAGATGTGAGGGGGAAGGGCAGGGGCGTGCGGGTGAGAGGTGCCTGCGTTCATCGCCTTTTAAACGCGCTGCTTTGCTTTCCTTTTCTTCTTTAGAAGCCACCAAGAGCTGAGCTTGGCTTGGTGGATGTCGGGCTGTAGGATCTGATAAGGCCCAGCTCTCTGAAGTGCTGCAGAAGGGTTTCTTCCCAGCCTCTCTCCCGGCGTGCCTGCACACCTCCAGTGCCCCTGAGCGCTGGGATGGTGCCGGGACGAGGCGGTGCCACCTGGGCAAGGTCCCTCCGTGGCAGGTGCAGAGAGCTGGGGGTGTTGCGGGGCACTCTGGCTGCGGCAGGGGAAGAACAAGGAGAAGCCAAGGTCTGAACCCCGCACTGATGTAAAGCTGAGGCTCCTCTGGAGCCCCTCCAGCTTTGTGCGGGTGTAACTGAGACTGGAATCCGGTCCAGAGAGAGTGAAGCTGTTTGGCGATGATTAATACAGTCAAATGTGAAAGTTATGTATCAAGTGTGTTTCATGCGCCTCTCGCCTCGGGACAATTAGCATAAATTTAATAATTATTGCCCTGTGCCAGCAGCTGCTACCTAAGGAGCTGGGAGTGCTTTATGAACGCTCATTAGCTGCTGCCCTGCCTGGGGGAGGTGGGTGATTAGTCTGCCCATTTTATGGGGAGGAAAGAGGAACAGAGAGAAGCAAAGTGAGGTGGCCAAGGTGTGGTGTCAATGAGGGCTGATCCCATGCCTCCTGTGCCTCCTCCAGCCCCACTGGGCTCTGACCAAGCTGGGTGGGCACAGATGGGAGGGGGCTGGAGTAAGATGAGAGTTTGTTCTTTAAGCGATGAGCAAACGCTGCAGAAAAAAAAATAAAATTCAATGTTTACTGGTTCCCCAGTCCCCACTTCACCAGGACATGGTTTCTTCTGCCTTGCACATGTCTCCACTCCATGTTCAGAGTCAGCAAGGGCTGGTGGAGGGTGGTCACTCAGGCAGGGACATCCTGATCCAGCTCCTTGACTGGAGACTCTCTGGATGATCTGGAGCCTCCCCTGTGGGTCACTCTGGTCCACCTGCCCTGGGAGCTGCTCTCTGCCTGGGCTGGCACCCATTATCCTGTGTGAGTAACAGCAAACCACAGAGACAGAGGCTGTGCTGGCTCCCTGTGTAACCAGGGTGCTGCAGCCAAAGGGGAGCTGATCAGATACCAGACTCTTTTATCATGTTCCAGGGCACAGACAAAAGCTGGAAGACCAAGCCAAACCCTTCACCGACCGCTACGGAGAGCTGGAACGGCTGCGCCAGTCCATGAGAGTCACCCCGACAACACCCAACCCCCGTGGATCCCTCAGCACCCCGAGCCACTTCGGCTCCCAGGCTCAAACTCCAATCCAAGGTAACCGCCTGGGTGTCCCAGTGTCACCCCTGAACCCACGAGTTCCTGGCGTGGCTGAGTGGGAACAACCCTCTGGATGGGATTTTAGAGTTGGAGTCCAGCTCTCCCCTGGTTAAGGAGCCAGGGAGGGGTTTGTGTAGATTTCTCGACCTTGGAAGCCTTTTTGCACCCATTAAGTCACTTTTTGCACCATTAGATCTGGGTTTTGAGGAACAACTGAGCAGCAGGAGCGCCAGGGAGGTGAGAGCAGCACCCTTTGAACCCAGCAGCTCCTCTGACATGAAGGCAGCCGCGCTATGGTTATGCATCAGCCAGAGAGGGTGTTCCGTGCTTTACATGCTAATCCCAACGGTTTCTTATCATTGTGTGGGTGCCAAGTGTGGTGATCCCTCGCCCAGCTCCAGCATAATTCCCCACACGGATGCACACCTGCACGGGCACACACACACACACACACAGAGCTTTGCTCTTCCCAGATCTGCCAGCGGCAAAGAGCGCCCGAGTCCCTGGGCGTTCCCCAGGAATCCGCAGCTTGCTGCCAGGACAGGGGCAGGAATTGCCACTGGAGTTACCTGACAGAGATCAGGCTGCTAATCCCCGAATTTCAGTCCCAAACTAAGCAAGGCATTAAAATATCTCGGCTTCTGTGCTGCTCCTGTCTTTCTGCACAGGCAGAGGCCACCAGGATGAATCAAGAGACCATTCTCCCGTCCTTTTCTGTGCTGCTTTTCCATGTACTTTTAGTCTCACTGGTTCTTTTCCTTCAGAAATCAGCAGAGACACTAACAGGGCTTCAAGGAACAGTATTTAAGCTGTCTGTATTTGAAATTTTGGTAAGAATAGGCCCTTCTGGGAAAGTTTCATAGAAAAAGCTCCCAAAATCCTTGCGCTGTGTTTTCAGAAGGGATATGGTTGTTTGAAAGCCTTGGTGTCATTAGCAAAGAGGGAGTTTTGGGTGTAAAAACATGTTTGAAAATGTTACTCGAACTGTAAAAGCTGCGCCGCTCCTCCCAAGCCAAAATTACAGAGAAAATTTAATTTATTTCTCATTGAAATGCAAATCTCCACGCTTGGAATTTTCATTGATATTAGCAAGGTTTATGAGAAGAACACGGGCATTTTGTGTAGGACTATCATTTAGATTTTTTTAAAAAAGCAGGAGAGAGAGAAAGAGTTTTCTAGGCTTGTCCTGTTGGCTGCATCATAAAGAAAGAGATTCTTGAGGGAAGAAAAAAAGATTTGTATTTTAAATTAGCACAGCCCCCTGCAGTGCCAGAAACCCAAAGAGCGCCGTTTGGAGCAAAGAATCAGGTGATGACACAAATTCAACGAGAAAAAAAATGGAGTTGGCCACAAGCTACTGCCCCTGCCAAATTCCCAAATGTCAAGTGACAGCAGGAGTGGAGACACACAAAATTAGCCTCTGAAATCATTCCTGCGGAGTGAATCCGAAGTCCCAGGAATGCTGCAAAAGGCGGTTTGTGCACGCTCTGCTCTTGGCTCCCTTGTTCCCGAGCCGGAGGAACTGTCTTAAAATGACTGCGGGTTCCTACCAGCGTAACTCGGAGCAGGAGCAGCTCAGTAATTTTCATCTCAGCCCTGTCCTTTTGACACAGCTCTGGCTATGACCAATCATAATCATCATTTTAAAAACCCCTCTTTCTCTCGCACACACACACGGCTTATTCACAAAGATCATAATTTTTACCCGAGCAAGTGGAGCCCGGCCCGTGCCAAGAACAACACGGGAGTTAACAGGCCTGTAATTCTCACGACTTGGCACGTTCTTGGGTAACACACAGGAGAGGCCGATTAGTGGGAAGCAGAACGAGATACCAGCAGGGAGGGGCCACGGGGCAGGCTGGGGTTCATCCGGCCCCCGCTATCTTTCATGGGGTGCTTCCCAAGGTGAATGTTTTTAGCATCCCTGTGCAGGGATTAAGAGGGGCACAGGGAGGTTTCTGCCTCCACCAGTGCCTGGCTCCCTCTGCTTGTGTGCCAGGGGTGCTCAGCCTCCCTGTGCTGCTGACCAAGCAGTTTGCACAAGCTTCTTAATCCACTCCTGGCTGAAGCAGGCTGGAGCTGGGATGCTCAGGAACGGCCTCTGCCACTGTGGGGGGATCCCAGCACCTCAAATCCCTGCACACAGCATGTGGAGTTTGTTTTTTTAGGCAGGCAAGAGACTGTTTATCTTCAGGAGAATTTGAGTTCTTGGGAGATGTGCTTGCTCTGGCCCAGTCCAATCTCTCCTCCTGAGGAGGGAAAGCCCTGGCCGTGGTGGAGATCATGGCAAGGGCGCCGCTGGGAGTGGGAGAAGTGTCTGGCCCTCAGCCACTCGCAGAGGCTTTCAGTAAAGCAGCCCCTGGAGGTTATAAATAGCCCCCATGTAAAATGATCATCCTGAGGTTAGATGGTATCAAACCAAAACCCTCCTGGTAAGAGAAAGCTGATGGTTTCTGAAGGGCATGCCAGGAAATATGGGAGGAGAGAGTGCAGCTCTGATTCTGAGCGGGTCAGATCCTGCTCTGTCCAGGGTCGGGGTATTTCAGTGGCTCTGACCTTGCCTTGCCCCACGCAGAGGGGCAGAGACTTAATCCCTTCCCATGCCTGTCCCCAAATGGGATGGACACTGGCAACCCTGCACACACCAGATCTCATTCCCACTTGTGCTGCTCTGGGAGTAAATAGGGTAACTCTGGGTTCACGCCTGTAGGTGTGATGAGAACCTGGCCCAACGCTGGGCAGGTCAGACAGGCAGACCCCCATCACCATCCAGCTCTGCTTCCCAGGCTTCAGCCAAGCAGAGCCTCTGTTGAGGATTTGGCCCAATGCTTCTCCAGAGAGGTCTGGAAAATCTGAGTGTTTGCAATCCCAGCTCTGCCATCCCCAGAGCGAGACACCAAGCTGTCATTAGGATGGCTTGAAATGGTTCCTTATTACGGGGCACGCGAAGCCAGAGCCTTGCGTGCCTGCTTCAGTTGAGTTTTGCCTTTTAGCTTAAAAAAATCAAGTAGCTCTCAGAAGTGAAGCAAGATGTTAAAGGGACTTCTGCTGTCTGCCTTCAGCTGCTTCTCGGGGCCCCCTGGCTCAGGGGAGGTGGGCTGGTGACAGACACACGTCCTCCCCAGGAGCAGCCCCCAATCCTCTGTGTCCTCCCTTGCCTGTGTTTCAGCAGTGGCTCAGGCTGAACCATTTTGTTCCCAGCAGAGCAGGACCGCCCACGCTCGAGTTCTGTGGTGGAAACATCTTCAACCACTCAAAAGCAATTGTGTGCCTTGTCCAGCAGCATAGAGGGGCCTTGTGCTCACCAGGACAATTGCAAAGGGATTTTAGATTGGATCTCCTCAGTACCAGAGAGAGCTGTTTTGGTTGAGGCACTTCACGTTCCCCTGCACGCTCTTGTTTTTGCTCCAGAGAAGCCAAACTCCCTTGATTTCACAGGGAGGACAGTAAATGTCAGGTCCTTTTGCAAGCCTCTCTTAGCCCTAGTGCCTGTGGAATGGTTTTGGGGAGACACTGTGTTCACTGGTGAAGAGCCTCAGATCTCCTGATCTGGAATTTACTCAGCTTCATTCCCAATCCATTACTTCAGGCCAGCACAACATTTTTATCATCAGCAGAATGCTTCATCATATGCCTTTAAAGTAAAGTCTTTCTCTCTCTTTTTCTTTTTAAATATACATTTTTAAAGTATTACATTACTTTTAAGAAGCCTCTTGGCATAGGCAGCAAATGCCCCTATTGTTTCCGAAATGCAACGTGGCTGCTCTGAGGTTAAGTCCTGAATTATGGGTCCAGCAAATACACTGAATTGCTGCTTCCTAATCCCTGTCCAGATTGACTTATGGTTTCTTTAAAATATCCGTTTCTTAATGGATAAAAACATTCTACCACGGGCAGCGACTAAATTGTTTCAAAGGAAGCTAGGCAAGCATTAGTGGGAAGAAAACATATTGTGGGATTCAGCTTCAGCCTCAAAGGAAGGAACACGCTCGAGATGGGTTTCCTGCCTGCTTTCAGGCTTCTGTATCTATCTTTAAACTGCTTTTCTGCTCCTCTCCTTTACATTTGTGACGTCCCTCCAGTGAATTTGGCATGGAACTGTCACAGACGAGCCACAGAGCAGTGCTGGGCAGGAGATTCCCCCAGGACAGAGTCCAGGCACCCGCGACCGCTGCGTTTGTGCCATGGACATGTGGCCAACCCCAGCCACAGCTCAGGGTGCTGCATCCCTACAGAACAGCAAGCAGTCTCTCAGAATTTGCCTCAGGGGTGCCATCCTGCCTTTAACACGGCATTTTCCAGTGTGCTGGGATCTGCAGTGCCATTCTCAGAGCGGGGTGGGCAGCCCCCAGCCCGGGTGCCGCTGCCTTGCCGGGCTCCTGGAGCCCCTGTGCCATCACCCCTCCGCAGTGGGATTCCCATGGCAGACGTGGCCTGGCCCAAACCTGCTCGGCAGGCAAGGTGGTCTAGCTGCAGGCTGGGTTGTAAATCCAGCAGCTTCCTTTTATGTAGTCAGGGCTTGTTAATTTGTTTTAATACCCTTTGAATACAGGTAAAGAGCAAAGCGCAGGCAGGGCGGAGGGGAGCGCCCGCGATCCCCGCTCAGCCCACCCACCCGCTCCAATTAGCACCGTTATTCATTAGCTCGGCGGGATGGAGCGGCGGGGACTGCGGGATGTGCCGGGCAGGGGGATGCGGGCAGAGGGCTCTGGGATGAGCGAGGCTGTGCCGGAAGCTGGGAGAGCTGGGCTTGTTTAGTCTAGCAAAGGGCAGGCGGGGAGCGGAGCTGATTGCTCCGCGTAAATACATCGAGGGGGTAAACACGGCGAGGCAGAGGAGCTAATGTAAGCTCTGGAGGACACTGCAGGCACAGGACATGGGGCTGAACTGGTCCTGCATAAATCCACGCTGGAATTAGGAGCAGGGTCCTCCCCAGAAGGATGGGTCCAGAGAATCGGAGCATCCAATGGATCTGGAAGGGTTTGCAGAGGAGGTTG